TACAGACCTGCAGATCAACAGCATGGCTTCTGAATGAGAGATTCTAAAAGTTAAATGTCTTAATGCAGAGGTGAAAAAACAGAAATCCACCAGTTTTATTTGTCATCGTATCTGTAGAAGATTATTTTATTGGTGCAAGTCTTCCAGTATTATTTCTTTGCGTGTATTTCCAAAGTTGGTCTAACCTGGATGACCTCTTTGACCAGTTCTGGGCGAAGCTACAATGCAGGTACCTCCTGACTGCCCAACAGGCTCCACTGCCTATCTCACCCACAAAGACACCCTGAGACCACCAGGACCGACAAATCACTCAGATCCCTATGCAGGCCCGCATAAGTAGGCGTAGACCGAGTCAACAAAGCCTGCGAAAAGCTGCACATAGCTCTAAGCCAAGGCGGAGTAATCACAACTCACAGTCTGGGTCGCCTGGGGGGGCGAAGATAGATGGTGCGCTGAAAACATGAAGACAGGACTGGCCTATCTTCCTAGCATTTTGCTACGCTTACCAGAGTACGTGGAATCCCTCTGCATTTTGGCTGGGGGACTGTTGGGCCTGACCAATCAGCGCTCCCTCTTGCCGACCCATTAGGATAATGGCGCGAACCCAGTTTGAATGGCCGCTCCTCCTATTCGTCAGAACGGACTTCCAGGTGGCCAGCGGGACCGAAGCCGACTCACAGCTCCAATGATTCCGCTGGGGCTCCCTCCAACCGGGGAGAGCGCACTCGGGAAGCTAAGAGCCATGGGTACCCAAGGCTCATTGAAGCATGTGAGAGGGGGAAGGCGGTCCCCTAGCCCACTTTGCCCAATCACACAGAGAGCTATTGTAGGTCAAATTGCTGAAAAACCTAATGCTGGACATGATAGAGAGGTGTCAGAGCACACAATGCACTAACTGCTGCACATGGAGCTGCATAGCTGCAGACTGGTCAGAGTGTCCATGATGACCCCTGCCCGCCACCAAAAGCGGCTTCAATGGGGTCAGAACTGGGCCATGGAGCACATTTTAGTGTTATGCGAAGATTTCAACCATATCTTCAATCCCAAGATAGATTCAACTATTGACCACATCATATCTAGATGTAAGTACCTAAACTCCCAATTTAGAGCTTTAAACAGTCTGTTAAACACCCATAACCTATATTAAGACAATGTATCCAAGATTTAGAATGTACTCATAATTTTCTCAAGTCTACAACATAAACTCTCGAATGCATGGCTATTTTCATGCGGGGCCAGATCCAGACATAGTGACCAACTGCGGATTTGGAAGGATGACATGGTTTGACCATGCTCTAACCATTATAACACTTAAAGACCAATACGATAACAAACACCTTGGAAATAGAATGAGTCCCTACTTAGCGACACAGAATTCACTAAATATCTACAATCCGAGATCAAAGAATACTTTTTTTTTTATTGAAATCATCTATTTATTCACCATAGTATATGCTGCTGTCCAATCTTTGCGAGTCTAAACTTTTTATAACCTATATTTTAGAAAGCACAGGAATAATGTCACACTTTTAAAAGTTAGAAGTCAACATGTTGAAATCCAGAAGGTGGCAGTATGGGTGAGTAGAATATTGTTAAGAAATCCAATATTATTTCAAATACTTTTTTTGGAACTGGAAAGAAAGTAGAAAAAAAAACCTCAGAAATCTGTTTTCCTTTTTAAGAATTGCATTTATAGTAAGATCAGTATCGCTCAGCAATGTTGCAAAACGCATTTTAATTAAAAAAATTTAAACATGTCATGCTACAATATTAAATACATAACTAACTGAATTACACATTGTAATATTTTAATGTAAAAGTTATACTTTTTAATGATACACTAGATGGTACGGTGTCCATGCTATGGCTCACACACAAACCAGACGGCCCTGTACGAACGTGATAGGAGGAACCAGATAAACCCCATGTCGTTATCAAGAGAACAAATTATGAACCTCACACAAAAATTTTTACAAAAACTCTCTTGCAAAAATGAGATACAATCCACACAGACTAAAGGCCGCCTGCTATGATCAGTGGAACAGAATGGGATACAATCCACACAGACTAAAGACAGCCTGCTATGATCAGTGGAACAGAATGGGATACAATCCACACAGACTAAAGGCCGCCTGCTATGATCAGTGGAACAGAATGCGATACAATCCACACAGACTAAAGGCCGCCTGCTATGATCAGTGGAACAGAATGGGATACAATCCACACAGACTAAAGGCCGCCTGCTATGATCAGTGGAACAGAATGGGATACAATCCACACAGACTAAAGGCCGCCTGCTATGATCGGGGGAACAGAATGCGATACAATCCACACAGACTAAAGGCCGCCTGCTATGATAGGGGGAAAAGAATGCGATACAATCCACACAGACTAAAGGCCGCCTGCTATGATCAGGGGAACAGAATGGGATACAATCCACACAGACTAAAGGCCACCTGCTATGATCAGTGGAACAGAATGGGATACAATCCACACAGACTAAAGGCCGCCTGCTATGATCAGGGGAACAGAATGGGATACAATCCACACAGACTAAAGGCCGCCTGCTATGATCAGTGGAACAGAATGGGATACAATCCACGCAGACTAAAGGCCACCTGCTATGATCAGTGGAACAGAATGGGAAAATTAATAGCGAAAGGATTTAAGGGGAAACCAGTCAGAGAAGATTTCATATTTCCTATCTGTGCCAGGGCAAAGGATGATGGTTCCCTAACTTATTAGCAACAAATATGCTAATTATTATTTGAATTAATAGAATTTAAAAAAAACGACCCACATACCCACCAACCCACAGCACATAGTGTAGCATCATATCTAAACGATATGGCTTAAGCTCTGCTTTACTAGGATCATATTCAGATGCTATCTGACCCAGTACACTTGAAGAGGTAACTTGTACACTAAAGTCCAACAAAGCACTGGGAACAGATGGCTTCTCTAATGCGCACTATAAAAAAAAAAAAAGTCTCAATCTTCGCTCCAGTACTAACCTCTCTGTATAATAAGGCTATCCAATCCAACTATGGCTTACTGGATATTTTCTCAGCACACATAATAACACGATCTAAGCCATGGTAAATCCCCAACGGTCTGCCAAAACATAAGGCTTACATTGCTCCTTAATATAGCTAGCTAAATTATATGCCAACAGACTGAGGATATCATACAACATCTTATAACAGATGATTAGGTAGGCTTTGTCATAGGGGCGCCAGGACTCTGATAATACCAGAAAAGTGCTAGATCTACTAAACAGCCTACAACAAAAACAAGAGGAGGTAATACTAGTCTGATTGAATAGCGAAAATAAATGTGATCACTTTAACTGGGACTTTTTGAAGGAAGTGCTACTCAAGAATGGTTTTCCTAAGCAATTTTAAGCAATGAATACCATACAATACAATACACAGACAGCTCAGGTTTTAAATGCTGGTTTTCTATCCGACCCCTTCCTTATAACGAATAAGACTAGGCAAGGATGCCCACTCTCTCGACTTCTTTACATACTAGCACTGGAACCACTAGCTAGTGTCATCAGAAAAGATCCAAATATCCACAGTGTCACAGTGGGCAACATATAATTCAAATTAAACAAGTCTGCAGATGATGTGGTATTGACTATTACCCAATAATTGTTGTTCCTTCTAAATCTCCAAATAAAGGATTACAGTCAACAATCCTTTTACAAATTGAATACCACCAAAATACAAGCATTAAGTGTGGAAATAACAGATAATGTAGTCTTGCAACTCAAATCTGCATTCCAATTTGACTGGAGAAAAGATGACAGCACCTTTCTGGGGACTAAATCTACAAAAATATTTTTTTTACAGATTTACATGGCAAACAAAGAGTGCACAGGTGGCAAGATCAATCCTTTGAAGTAGACTCTGGGTGGCTGGGTCTACCCAGTCTCTCTTAATACTACAAAGTGGCGCATGTAGGAGCGGTAGTCAAGGCGAATGAATTTCCCACAACCCTACAGTAGGTTTATATAGAATCTCACTAGGCAGATCAGAGAGAAACACAAATTATTTCAAAAACCTTGAGACCACAAGACTTACTATAAGAATATGGGACTCTGTAAAAATGCCCTACACAGCTAACCCTTGGAATCTGGCTACGCCACATAACCAACACTTAGTACACACAGCTCACTCCTGCAATCTGGCTACACCACATAACCAACACTTAGAATACACAGATCTTCCTGGGAATCTGGCAATATCTGTGTATTCTGAATAGTTTGATATTTAGTCCAATATTTACACCTAAAATGCATAGATACACAGTATCTGGATTTTCACTAAACCATCAATGTGTGCACTTAGAATGCATCAGTTTTACATGGAGTTTGGTCACTCCTTAATGCTTTTATCATGACCAAGCCCCCCAAAAAGTCAGTCCTGTGGAGAATGCATGAACAAGGTAGAGCTGGCCTGCCCGCATGCTGATTGAGCAAGCGCAAAGCAGATATATGAAATCAGTAGCTCTTTGGAAATACTTGAAGGGGCACTCTGTGCACTATAATCACGAGTTCAGTGTAGTTAATTGTAGTTATTATGTGCAGAGTGTGGGTTTCTATATCAATTCTGTCCCACCAGGATGGCACTGATAGGCTGAAAGCCAAGACGGGAGCAGTCTCTCAGTGCTGGGGAGCCCTGTTTTTTTTTTTATCAAACAGCTACTGAAATGTTTGACAAAAAAAAATGGGACTGTATCCACAGACTGAGCCATTAAACTGAGCTGTAATAGTTATATTGCATTGTGCCCCCCTAAAATGCCCATCCCTGCTGTGTGACTAAAAACCATATTTCTAATGTATATTTTAAATTATAAAGGAATGTCAGTTTAAATACAGAGAGTTCTGTGGTTTGTCTCCCCTAATTACAGTGTTTTGAGATTGTGCAAGATAATCACATTAAACCTTTAAAATAAAGAGAAGACATTTTCATTCAGCAAATGTAAACCATTTTATTTTTTTGATGATTCACAAAAGTATTTGTTTTTAAGACTTGTGTTCTGTAAAAGACCCAGAAAAAGTTACCATTGTCCCATTTTAAAAAGCTGCTTACAATCTGTTAAAATGGATTCTGAAAGCTGTATTTCCGTTGGGGTCCCATTCCATAGAAGCATGTCACAGTGTTGTACAGCCATAGGAAACGAAACTAAATAAATATGTTTAAATGTCCTCCCAAGGTAGACAGGCTCAGTTTTCTTTCTGCTCATTAACCTGTAATGTCAGTGTATGGATATTTGTTTCTGAAAGTGATACATGTTGTTCCCACAGAGAGAGAGAGCATAAACATATCCCAATACTCATACAGTCCTCAAAAAAATCTAAACTACTCGTAGTCACATCCATTGAGTTTGGTACAAAATGGCACTTTGGTTGGACACAGGCATTCAAGAATTGGGAAGCTCTTTATTGATTTAGTATCCGGTGTCGATTTAGTATTTAGTGTCCGGTTTCTCTGTAAATTAAAAAGAAACCATTTTACTTTCCTGAGTATACAGTGCACACGCTAAGCTACAAGCATTCAATTTTGGCATAATAAATAGATTTCTAATTGAAAAAAAAAATTTAACCACACATAGCTCGCACAATGTTGTAAGAAATGGGGCGCAATTAAACATTATATTTTCTATTTAATATATAGAGTCAATTTCTTACAATGTTTCAAAAATAAAAAAATTCACACATTCTGAATAAATCCTTAAGTTGACCAAATAGTGTTTAACTCTATCAGGTCACATCTTGAGTACACAAGAGCCGTACAATTTTTACAACTTAATTTACAGGCCACTTGTACCAAAATAGTTTTGGAGGGGGAGGAGATGAGAATTCTCTGTAAATGTACCGTATATACTCGAGTATAAGCCGACCCGAATATAAGTCGAGGCCCCTAATTTTACCACAAAAAAATGGGAAAACTTATTGACTCGAGTATAAGCCTAGGGTGGGAAATGCAGCAGCTACTGGTAAATTTCTAAATTAAATTAGATCCCAATAAAATTACATTAATTGAATATTTATTTACAGTGTGTGTATAGAATGAATGCAGAGTGTGTGTTTGTGTGTGTATATATAATTAATGCAGTGTGTGTGTGTTTGTGTGTTGTGTGTGTGTTTGTGCAGTGTGTGTAAACTGGATGAGGGGAGGGCATTTTTATTTTTTAATTGTATTATATTATTTTAATATTATTATATTATTACTATTTTAATATTATTTTAATAATATTATTATTATTTTAATATTTGCATTATTGTCCCCCCTCCCTGCTTGTTGCCTGGTCAGGGAGGGCGGACAAAAAAACATTTAAAGCAGGGAGGAGGGGCAAAAAACCATTTAAAAAAAAAAGAATGCAAATATTAAAATAATATAATAATAAAATATATTAAAATAATAATATTATTTTATTATTATATTATTTTAATATTTGCATTATTTTTTTTAAAATGTTTTTTGTCCCCCCTCCCTGGCCAGGCAACAAGCAGGGAGGGGGGACAAAAAAACATAAAAAAAAAAAAAATACAAATATTAAAATAATAATAATATAATAATATAATATTATTTTGTTATTATTAAAATAAAATATTAAATCCCTGGTGGTCCAGTGGCATTGGCTGTTCAGTGCGGGGGCCGACAGTGAGCTCTTACTTACCTTCCTGCAGCTCCTGTCAGCTCCCTCCTCCTCCGCGCAGCTCCTCGGTCAGCTCCGTTCTGTTTACAGTGTAAGTCTCGCGAAACCCGCAGCTCTCGCGAGATTTACACTGGGAGCAGAACGGAGCTGACCGAGGATCTGCACAGAGGAGGAGGGAGCTGACAGGAGCTGCAGGAAGGTAAGTAAGAGCTCGCTGTCAGCCCCCAACAGGACCGCCGGGCTTGTAATGAGCCTGGCGGTCCTGGTCTGTATTATGGCAATGTAAGTTGCCATAATACAGACTGACTCGAGTATAAGCCAAGTTGGGGTTTTTCAGCACAAAAAATGTGCCGAAAAACTCAGCTTATACTCAAGTATATACGGTAATTCATTATTTGCATACAGCACTGCCATTGGCTGGTAAGGGCTGTGTTGACATTTTACGCGTTTACTTTATAATCACATATAATGACTTTTTCCTTGTGGCTTCCAGTCTCTTTATTTTAGCACATACCTTCAGTCTTCTCTTTGCATATGAGTGCAGACAGCCTTTTTATATACGATGGAAAGTTAGTGAACGAATCTCCATAGGACATTAGCTTGATGCCATTAAGCAGCATATCGGCCTGAAGCTTATAGAAGGAATCTGAATTCTCCTTTCGTACCAGCATGTAATGTTCCATACTGACTTTATTCTGTACAGTGTAGAGGAAAAGAGCCTGGAAAATCTGATCCCGCAACGTCTCTCCACAGCCGAGAAAAACAAAAGATTTTTTGCCGTACAAACTCTGCAGCTCATCCTGTAAAGGAAAGAGGAGGCACACAGAATAAGACTTATTTATTTTACATTTGATATAACGACATATGTAATATAAGGGGGGGATGGGGGGGAGGAGATGAGCCATATATAAAAATGCTGCTTAATGGTCTCTCCCTCTACCGAGTGCAGACCTTGTGTAATGGCTCTCGCAAGGTCCGGGCTCATATTATCAGAGCATTGCTGCAGTAACCTGCGCTGAACTATCCAGAGGCCGGGTTAGCCATATACCAGGTATATATATATACCATACACCTCTGGGCTCCTCCCTACAGAGGATGCAACTGGCCAGTGTGGGAAAATTTTGATTGCCCCACTGACCACTCAGGGCACCCCTCTGCATGGGACGGTGCATTTTAAGGTTGTGACAGTCCTGCAGATATGGGGGGAAAGATCTAGGGCTATAGGGCCCTACATTAATGGCTCAATCTATCCCCAGGTAAACACCCCTGTACAGAAATATACAAATTGTAAGTATAAGTGATATGTGCAAAGATATCTAAATACCTTATCTCAGGCCTTCAACTTAGCCGTATTCACAGTCCCGGTGTTTTCAACAAGCTTCCTCTTTTGGGCAGTTGGTGGGAGGTGGTTGGATTTTATCAAATGGCTCTGTACAAAGAAATCATCAATAATTGAATGTTATTCCTCTACAGCTTAATTCTTTTAAAACAGATGTTGAAAACGATTACACATGTTCTATGTTTCTACCTCATGTTTACTAAACATGGACCTGTTTTATATATAGTTCCAAAATATTTTGAACCAAAATAAAATGTATTGTATGGAATTGTTGGTATACTTACCACACAGCATTTCAACATCTACAACATGCGCAGTATCTACAAATACAATAGGAAACGTGGGAAGAAGTGACTTTTCTAATTCTCACTATTCTGTTTTGTAATTCAAGGTTATCCGATTAAACAGTAATAACATGAAGGCGTTTAACATTTTCTAAATGGCATACTAGGAGACAGATATTGACTTCTCTCTATAAAACAACCATACAGAGAGCTGCAAAGTACCTGCCATACAAATCTGTACTGCAGCCCATATGTGATTGGACAGTGACAGGTGTCATTTGGACCCCAGCTGATTAGATTCCAAGCAAATATGATTAAAGCCCCACCAAACTTATTCTTTGTGTTGCCGTCAGAATTTTTGTGTTTTTGCTTTGTTCCATTGTTCTTGCCTGTAAACACCCCCCCTTCCCCTCCAAAAAAAAAAAGAAAAAAAAAAAAAGGTATTTGGCCATCTTTGCCTCCACCCTATCTTTGTTCTTTACATCTAATCCCTACCCAGTTTAGACCGCTTAACGCACTTCAGAAACCTCAGAGACCACTCATATCGTTTCAGATATAACTGTAACCTTAAGACCACTCTGTTGCCCTCTGCCAACTTCACTTAATACCTTGCCCGTTAGAAAAAGTACTAGCCCCTTCATACCTCTGACAATCCAATCACCTTTCTCAAACACTTCTGCTTATCTCAGACACCTCCAAACCCATCTGGCCATTTAAAGCCCCTGCCTACATTAAATCCCTCATGATCCATGTGGCCACTACAGACACCTCCAGAATTCTCTGCAAATGTAATTCATTATTTGCATACAGCACTGCCATTGGCTGGTAAGGGCTGTGTTGACATTTTACGCGTTTACTTTATAATCACATATAATGACTTTTTCCTTGTGGCTTCCAGTCTCTTTATTTTAGCACATACCTTCAGTCTTCTCTTTGCATATGAGTGCAGACAGCCTTTTTATATACCATGGAAAGTTAGTGAACGAATCTCCATAGGACATTAGCTTGATGCCATTAAGCAGCATATCAGCCTGAAGCTTATAGAAGGAATCTGAATTCTCCTTTTGTACCAGCATTTAATGCTCCATACTGACTTTATTCTGTACCGTGTAGAGGAAAAGAGCCTGGAAAATCTGATCCCGCAGCGTCTCTCCACAGCCGAGAAAAACAAAAGATTTTTTGCCGTACAAACTCTGCAGCTCATCCTGTAAAGGAAAGAGGAGGCACACAGAATAAGACTTATTTATTTTACATTTGATATAACGACATATGGAATGTGTGTGTTTTGTGTGGCTGTGTGTGTACATTTATGGTTATTCACTGGGTCAAATATTCTAAGGGCACTTTCTTTAATGTTTGTTTGAGTTTGATTCTCAACATTTGCTCACAATGTTTACTAGCCCCTGGAAGAATGCTATATGTTTTTCTATGTTTACCTGACTTACTAGACTAGTGTTTTATCTGTTGGTTTAACCCCTGTATCATATCTCACACGTGTTGGGAAAATTTACCAAAAGATTGAGTTTTTACCGATAATGTAAATATTATATGTATCAGAATATTGACTAGAAGGGGTGTAGAGGAGGCTTTTACCTTCACATAGGATATTGTGAAATTGTAAAGAAAACTCACAATCAGTTCAAAGTCCTGTACAACATCTTTATATCCACATGGGTCCAGAATCATGCCGCAGGGGTCCGTGTACAATCCGTGGATATGCAAAACGCCATACTGAATACAGCTTTGTACCCACTGCATAACCTGTGAACAGAAAATTGCCTTTTATATCCCAGCTAACGGCCATTTTAATAATTATGGCTAAAAATTAAACTATAAGGTTACAATTAATGAAATTATTCACAACATCAACCATGTTTTTTTTCCTTCAGGTTATTTGATTTAAATCTCCTCTGTTGCAGAACATGTGACCTACCTTCACTTTATCATTCAGATCCAACGATTCCATGGGTTTGCCCATCTTCTGCCCATAAAGCTCCAGCAGGTTATCATAGTTTGTAGTGAGCACCATCGCCCCTTTGTCCATTAGACTAATGATTGACTCGAGAACGGTGGGGTTCTGGATATGGCTTTCTAGGTTATCATATACTTCCATTAAGCAGTCTTGGAAAAAGCTGGGTTTGTTGTCACCGGTTCTCTATAAAACACATATGCTGTAAAGAGCCGCTCCACTCTGGATGATGTATAAAGTGATCCATTAATTACATGGAGGAATTCATTACCATAACACTGTAAGAAAGCGTATATACACCATATCTTATAGGTGATTTAGCCTTATACCTTATCCTTATAGAAGGAGAGCACATTTCGTTGCCCTAATGTGAAATGTGACAGTAAGTGTAGCTATTTACTTTGTGTCAGACTCAGATTCATTTTACAATATTATATAATTTACTAGAACTCCGTGCCTGGTATTACAGGGATTGCTGGCCCGTAATAACATGATCATGCGATAATTTGGCTCAATTCATTGTCTGCAGATCAGCTGGAATGGGCATCTGGTTACATTATACACTTTATAACCGGAGCAGTACTAATGGAAAAAATACATATAAATTGTTTTTTATTTTTAAACCCTTAAAAACCAGCAATATTTTATATCATCGTACTCTGGCCTCCCATCCTAATATCAAATGTCCTATTTATTTAAGAATGCAGCTCTAAACAGCCCTGCTACTGGTAAAGGTGGTATGTTCCAGTTAGTTATCGAATCTTTACAGGATGCATTGCTATTATCGATCCTTCGTTCGTAGTTATTTAATAAGGATGGCAGGTGCACAATAAGCTGAATTGTTTCTCTGTCAGAGGCTGATTCTGCCATTACATAACTCAAATATAGCGCCCACCATCCCATATATTACGAAACCAAACCACAGTACTAACATCACCCATAATACATGCAGCGGCACACGGAACGTAGAGAGCATCCAGAACACACCCATAAAATATCCGGTATCCCATATAACATGTGGAAATCAGATCTCCCCAGCTGGCTTAACACAGAATTAACACATATAACATGTTAACAGCTTAATGAAGTGGTCTGGGTGCCTGGTCCAGCTAGGGTTAACCCATTTTTTCATAAACATAGCAGTTTCAGAGAAACTGCTATGTTTATGAATGGGTTAAGCCTTCCCCTATTTCCTCTAGTGGCTGTCTCATTGACAGCCACTAGAGGCGCTTGCGTGCTTCTCACTGTAATTTTCACAGTGAGAGCACGCCAGCGTCCGTAGGAAAGCATTATGAATGCTTTCCTATGTGACCGGCTGAATGCACGCGCAGCTCTTGCCCCACGTGCGCATTCAGCCGACGGGGAGGAGAGAAGGAGGATTGGAGGAGGAGAGCTCCCCGCCCAGAGCTGGAAAAAGGTAAGTTTAACCCCTTTCCCCTTTCCAGAGCCCGGTGGGCATTTTGCCCAGGAATGAAATGAACGCGGTTTGGATCCGGTAACCTTTGTACCAATAACAAATGTGAAGGAACGTACCGGTGACATTTTCCGGATCAGATCATGTGCGACAACCAGTAAGTCTTGCTCACGCAGCGTCCTTTTTCTGAATTCCACAACGTCCCCAGGATGCAATACCTCAAACTGTTCTGCAGCATCTATTATAGCTTCAATGCAACACCGCCATGAACGGAGCGCAGGGACACCTGGGGTTACCGCCGCGCTCACCCCGGTTCCAATCACAAGGACCAGGTCACTGGCATGCTTCTTAGTAAGGATTTTTAATACCTTCCTGCAAACAGGTGACCAGGTGTATTAGTGGATATAGGAAACAGGTAAAAAAACACTGTAAAGGAATCTCTGTAACAGTTCAATTTTAGGCTGCGTTAAATATCTAAAATATCAGCAGAAAAGTTTGTCTAAAAATTATTATAATGGGATAAAAGATGGTCTGAATTTTTGTAATGCAGGCATCTATAAAAATGCAAGCTGAGCCCATCTTCACAGGGATTAAGTGTCCCAATATATCAGCACAATAGGGGGGGGGGCGGGCAGACATTGCAAATATGGATAAAATACTCCTATTGTCCCCATATGTATATATTTAATTTGTATTGAGTTTATCAATTCCCCAGTACTCAGATGTGAAAGCACTGTGTGATATGTTAACCCATAATTAATTAAATCTAATTAAAACGCTTACCCGGACTTGTGGTCAATGTGATTTCCACTGTGTTTCAACATGTTTTTTAGTAAATTCTTTGTCTCCTGTATTAGAAAACAATTATATTATATTCAGATATTAAGTAAAGCTAAATTTTAAACATAAAAATCACAAACTGTCTAGTTCAGGATCCAGCACAGAGCACCCACGTCTAAATAAACACAATCACTAAAACAAAGGTCTTAGACAGTGGAACAAAACACACGCTGCGTAAACCATTAATAAACTACAATTCCCAGCATCCCCTGCCACCTCTACTTAAGGTAGAGCCAACATGCACCCCTTCCCTCCAGGTGTTGTCAGACAAACAGCAGTGCATCATGGGCAATGTGTTTCACAAGAGGTGGAGGGTTACCGTCTGGCTTCCAGTGGTTTTGGTACCACTTATAGGTGAAGATTATTTTCTCGCATTATGTTTACAAATATTCTGTTTTCCAGAAATTTGACCAAAGTCTAGATCATAATTTAAACAAACAATATAGCATTACAAACGAAATAACTGTTGATTAAGATAACAGAAATATTGCGATTTTTAATCAAATACTTGTCTTTGTCATTCATTGAAAGTTGCTCTTATTGGGCAAGTAATGAAGGATTCTATTATATATACACCCCCATTCATTATATGGGGTAAGTAATGAAGCATTCTATTATATATACACCCCCATTCATTATATGGGGTAAGTAATGAAGGATTCTATTATATATACACCCCCCATTCATTATATGGGGTAAGTAATGAAGGATTCTATTATATATACACACCCCATTCATTATATGGGGTAAGTAATGAAGGATTCTATTATATATACACCCCCATTCATTATATGGGGTAAGTAATGAAGGATTCCATTATATATACACCCCCATTCATTATATGGGGTAAGTAATGAAGGATTCTATTATATATACACCCCCCATTCATTATATGGGGTAAGTAATGAAGGATTCTATTATATATACACCCCCCATTCATTATATGGAGCAAGTAATGAAGGATTCCATTATATATACACCCCCATTCATTATATGGGGTAAGTAATGAAGGATTCTATTATATATACACCCCCCATTTATTATATGAGGTAAGTAATGAAGGATTCTATTATATATACCCCCCCCATTCATTATATGGGGCAAGTAATGAAGGATTCCATTATATATACACCCCCATTCATTATATGGGGTAAGTAATGAAGGATTCCATTATATATACACCCCCATTCATTATATGGGGTAAGTAATGAAGGATTCCATTATATATACACCCCCCCATTCATTATATGGGGTAAGTAATGAAGGATTCTATTATATATACACCCCCCATTCATTATATGGGGTAAGTAATGAAGGATTCTATTATATATACACCCCCATTCATTATATGGGGTAAGTAATGAAGGATTCTATTATATATACACCCCCCATTCATTATATGGGGTAAGTAATGAAGGATCCCATTATATATACACCCCCATTCATTATATGGAGCAAGTAATGAAGGATTCTATTATATATACACCCCCCATTCATTATATGGGGCAAGTAATGAAGGATTCTATTATATATACACCCCCCATTCATTATATGGGGTAAGTAATGAAGGATTCTATTATATATACAC